GTGACCTCTACCCAAAAATGATAATTAATCTTCACAAACTAAAAAATAATTTTTATTTATACCTTAAGATTATAAATTAATGTTTTTAAAAAATGGCTAGAAATTTCTAAACCGTTAAGGAGCGATCCGAACCGTAACTAATATCGGTTTCGGTTAAGATAAAATAATATATCGGATGGTTTGAACACTTTAAAAACCTGTTCTAACTTTCCCGCATAACACATTTATTAAAATTGTTCCATCGATAAGTGCTATTTACAAAATAATTTTTATTATCTTTTTTTCTAAAATTTGATAATTGAGGTATTTAATCAAAAATATTCTCAAAATTCTTTTCCGAGTTTTAAATTGCAATGGTTGAGATAATTTATATACGCGAACTTGGGTGACTAAATATACAAAAAATACCTAATGTTTTTGGTATCACAGTTGTATCGGCCATAATAGTGTTGTATTTGTATCTTTATATGTGAAAATGTATCGTTGCATCTCTGCTAAAAATTAAAAATTCCAATATCATGGGCAGAGATTCCAAGGAAAAACTTAATTTATCCTACATATATTTTTGTCAATTTATGCAGAGATGTTAAAGTAACACGCTACTATAGTGCACTATGTTTTTTGGTAACTATAGCTAATAGCGCGCTACTTTTTTTCCAATTATTTATTTTTTTATCGCGCTCCTTTTTTTTGAAAGTAGCTAAGTAGCGCGCTTGGCTATTTTTTAATTTAATAATGAATGTAACTATAGACATGAAATATAATATAATTTATTATATATTTTAAAATTGAAATTTATATTTTCAATTTGTATTATAAACCTAAATCATCTGGTGTAAATTATTTAAAATGTCATCGCAAATGGATATCCAAATCGATCTAAGTAAGTCAGACATGTATGGTATCATTAAAATGAAAGGTACCCTGGAAGAAAATGTTTTTGATAACAATAATACATATTTCCCATTTCCAAAATTTGAAAATATTTTTAAATTAATGTAAAAACAAAAGGTGGTTGAAACTGTAAAAATGTGTAGGGGAAATGTGCCATAAACTGCCATGGTTGAAGACTGGCCACCACCCTTTAACTTTTTATCTATTGGACCAATTTCTCTCAAAATTGGTCAAAATGTGTATATTTATGATATGTACCTTACCTAAGTTCATTAGCAAAAAAAATATTTCAAATAAACTGATTTTAGTACCTCTTTCTGGAAAAATCACCTTACACATTTTTGTTTGGTGAAAATATTACTAATTTAGATTATTAATATTTTATATAAATATTATCATTAAGCATTTAGCATTATTCACACAAAAAATTAGACTTTAAAAGCTTTATTTAATAAACATATAAGGCGCTTAATAATAATAGAGAGGTGGGTATTGACTGGTCATATATTGATTGGCCACAATTTGCTCATTCACATATTCATATTAAAATGAAAAGCTCTTGCAAAACAACATTTGGTGAAATAAAATGATGAACAAGCTTAAGAATGTTTAGTAAAATGATAATTAAGATATTAATTTTTAATATTATCATTAAATAGATGTGGTAATAAATTGACTAATTAAATTAGTGTATAATTAATTTTTTATATAACTAAAAAATGTAGAAATATAAATTTAAGTCTTTTACAAGTATTTCATATTGTATTAATTTATAATAAAATTCTTAAATAATATATTATGGAGAGTTAACACCCTCATCTAGCTCATGAACTATTATACATAGAGCGTGATTCTAATTTTATTTTAAAGATTAATATTTAGGCTACACATTGATATAAAATTTGTTTGGTTAAACATAAATTTTAAATACCTTTTTTCAAAAAAGCAAAAACATGGCCATTCATGGCACATTTCCCTTATTTTCAAATAAATCTAGTAGCTACAACCTCCAAAAACACTTAAAGGTAATTCTCCTTTTTAAATTCTAATAGTATATTTTTTCTATAAGAATGTTCGTGACAGTTATAAAGATGAAAAAAACATCTTAATAATTTTGGTATAGAGACGACTACATTCAAAAAGACCAATTCAATTCAAGCTAAATTGATTTATAATATTGCACATGCCAATATTTTTCAGAAATTGGCTGATAAAGTTATTGATACAAAATTAAATACTGCCTTGCGTTCAAGGACTAGTGTTGAGAGATTATTCAGTAAGGCGAAACTTATACTTTCTGATCGTCGTTCTAGACTTGGGGATGATTGTATAGAATTGATTTTATTAATAATAAAATGTAACAAAATAAATAAAAAATGAATATTACCATAGATAGTTATTTAATTACATATATTATAGTCTTTTTACATTTGATAATCAAAACTAATTATATTTAAATATTTATAAATGATGATTTTATATGCAATTACACTATAAGCAATTTAATTTTTTTTATAAAAAGTAGCCAAAAAAGTAGCTAAAGCTACTTTTAAAAAATAATTGCTAATAGAGCGCTACTTTTTTTGATAGGTAGCACTAATAAACGTTTCCTTTAAAAAAATAAATATTATGATTGGTTATAAATAGCTAAAAAGTTTGGAATCCTGCTTATACCTCCTAGACAATTATAGTAAATAATATTGAAATTAATATTAATAAAATTAAAATAAACAATAATCGCTAAAAATGAGGAAAATATATACAAAATTCCCAAAATAGATTCTCAAACAAGTTACAATAATAAATTTATATACTTTGTTTAATATTTGAATCTCAAATTTCTATGTATATTTTTCATAAAAGAATGTAAAGTAGCGAAACCTATAAAATAGCTATTGGCGGGTTACTTTTATAAAAACCAAAGCGAAGGTATTTTATATTAAATAAAATAAAAATAGATGAATATAATCAAATTATCAAAATATAATTAAATATTTAAAATTAATTGCAGAACATAAACAAAAATTGATCTATAAATAAATATTATGAGATTTCTTCCTTACAAGCTACTTTTTTAAAATTTAGGTTAGCAGGGCCCAAGTCTAAAATAATTTGGCCCCGGGCTGCAAGTGGCGTAATATTTTGTTTTAAAAATTAGAGTTCAAATATAACATATAATGAGAGTATTATTTGATCAAATAAGTTATCCATAGGGGAAGTAGGATGGGAAGGGGTGGGGGTGGGTAATTTTGAGGTTCTTCACCGTAAAGTAAAATTTTTTGAGTGGGAAGGGCATCTTTATAAGATTTTTTCAGGATTATATTTTCAAAAAAGTAATTTCCGGGTTTATACTTTAAAACAAACTATTTCTATTATAGACAATATTATTTTTCAAAAAATTATTAACTTTTACTTAATTTTTTGAAAATTTTGTTTATAAAATAGCCAAAAATGCTAATCCTGCTTATATCTCCTAGATGATTTTTAAAGCAATATTGAAAATAATATAAATAGATACTGAAAGAACACTTGTATTAATTTTTTTTTATTAAAATGGCTAAAAATGGGGGGGAAATGTCATCAAGATTCAAATCTGAAATTCTTAAGATATTTCTCCCATTTTTAGCAATGTTTAAAAAAACTAAATATAAACACGTTCTTATTTCAACATTTTGAAACCCCAGTTTGGTAACTCAAATTTACTAGGTAATGACATCACAAATCATGTGCAATTATGAGGATAAAATAAGTTTTAACTTGAAATAGCTTATCCCTTCCTATACACTATCACACTCTTACTCATAGGAACGTTAACCCCCCCCCCCACACTTATCTCGTGCAGCGTCTACATGAGCGGGAGGGGTAGGAACAGTTTGCACCCTATTTTTTTGAGGGGGTAGGGGGTAAGCTGCTTTAATGGGGGTAGGATAAATTTTTTGGGGGGTTATCTACTAAATTTTGAGATGAAATAAGACAAAATTTATTGCTGTAAAAATTAATACTATTATAGTATTATTATAATACAATTCATCGACCAAATCTATATATTGCAAACAATCATACACATTGTTTTCCAAATAAACTATCCTTTTAAATGTAATTTAAAAGGTTTAGATATTTCAGCAAGCTCATAATGCCATAATAATTAATTCATTGTAAATAATGTAGGTTTTATTTGAATTTATTATCTAAAAAATAAATTATATTCACAAAATATTGATAGTTGGTAGTAGAGATAGATTAATTTAAGTTATTTTTTATAAATTCTTTAAAAAGAGTATCAAAATAATAAGACACCGCCGCCGAAGGCGAAAATTTTTTAGGGGGGTAGACAAGGTTTTTGAAGGGGGTTTGCATCCAGTGAAAATCCTGTCATGTAGACGCTGATCTCGTGGTAGAAGTACCTACCACTTATAAACTGGTTCTCATGTCCTTAAAGGTTTTCTAAAGGCTCCAAAAGTTAATTAAATATATGCCAAATTCTAATAGGAATTAATATATGATCAGGTGCATGTTAGAAATAGTTAAAATTAACAATAAAAAATATTTCGGGGAATAAATTAATATTATAAAAATTTATATAGATAAATTTTATTTTTATTTAATATTTATCAAAGTGCATTGATGATTATAAATAATTTTATATTTATTTTATGTTTAAAGGTCGTCATTATACTAGAATCGAAAATAAGATGACAAAATCTCGTGATAAAATTCATCAACTTACGTCTAAAAATATAAATTGGAAGCCAAAGAGCGCAATTTCATCGACGGTATTTAATTTAATCTAATTTCATTCTATTCTATTATTTTTATTCAATGGCTAAAAAAAAACTCTAACAGTAACAGATACAGAGTTTTAAAAGTTTCCATGTAGTTGGGAATCCCTTTATGAAAACTTAATAACCTCATTTTAAAATTTTTTATTTTAATTTGATCGTATAAATTTCACGTGATATGAAATAATATCAATATTTTAAGAGAGTGGTGAGTGGTAAGAGTTGTGTTATACCAATGTTTAACTCAAGAAATGAACACAAAATATAATATTGATGTAAAAAAAATAAGGTTTGTTATATTAGGCTATATATATAATTTAAGAAATACAAATGGTATGGAAAAGTAAAATTAATGGTAATGAATACTATCGACAAAAGAATTATAATCACAACTCATAACTATGCACGTGCTAATGTCTATCCACCAGCTCAAGATATGATGGCATTAGTAAATTTCTAATAATTATTTTCCCCTTAAACATTTTATTTACGATTATTAGAGCTGGAATGATGAAGCACAAAAATTGGCAGAAAATTGGGCAATTAGTTGCATAACAGGACATGACAATATATCAGATAGAACACCTAAATGTTTGAAACAAAAAATTATTTATTTCTAAAAATAATAAACTATTTTTTAGATTTCAAAAAATATGGATGTGGACAAAATTTAGCATACACATCACATTTGGGCGGTTGGGATGATGTTATCAATGCTTGGGATGCTGAAAAATATAGTTATATTTATGGAGGACCACAAAAAACGTTTTATAGAGAGGGCAAGCCATATTACCCGACTGTTGCACATTACGTGCAAGTTAAATAGATTTCATATTAAATTATTATTGTTATATATATATATTCAGTTTCAAATGCAATAACTTTTTCGAAAAATATAGTTAGTATGGAGTAGTTCGCAATATGTCGGATGTGCTATTTCTTATTGTCCCAATGATCCTCGCGGGTTATACTTTCACTGGGCTTGCAATTATTGTCCGAAGTAAAAAAAATAATTAAATTTTTATAAAAGTAATAAGTTAATATTTCTTTTTACAAATAACTATAATTTAAATTTCAGAAAAAAAATTTAGACTAAATATGGAGTCTAAAATCAATATTATTTATAATAAGATTGTCCCATACCCCTCATTCAACCTCCTAAATAACATTCCAAAGAAAGAAAGAAACTTTTTGATCATTTACCTGCTCCAATTTAATTCAATAGATTAGCTTAAGTTAGTTTTTCATATTTTAAAAAAAATAACCAGGGGCAACACACCGACAGAAATGGATCACCCGTATACCGCGGGGAAGAGTCAAGGTTGCACAAAATGCTTGGAAAATGGAAGGTGCGAGACGCGTGGTTCATTCGCGGGGAAATTATATACCAAATGCGGTAAGATAATGTGCTACCTTTTATAAAAAATAATTTTTAAATTTTAAAAATTCGCTCAACAAATTAACTGTGCTATTTTCCAACTTTAACTATAATTACTAAGTCTCTTTTTATTTTTAAAACCTGATTTTAACGGGTAATGTATTGCCGCATGTGGATAATATTTACCTTATAAATTTCAGACAATAATAGAATATTACGTGAATTGGCATATATCATGAAGCTGCTAAATCTTAGAAAAAGTATCTGACTCTTCTAAGCCACAACTGCCATTATAAAAGTGATAAGTAAAATATTGGTATGTAAGGATATACTATACTATGTTATCTAATATTTTTATAAAAAAACACATAAAAAAGATATTTCAATGCAAAATATCTATGCGCGCAATTGTGGATTGCACGGAATTGACTACATAAGGGTGTGTCCTATTGATACTTATTTATGTTTAGCCTAGGCTAAATGCTTTTTAACTAGGATATCCTATTTTAATTCATGTGTTTGGTGACATGGTTATTTTTCATATATATTTTCCCGTTTCTTTTGTTTTATTTTTCTCCCTTTTTTTTGGCTGTTTAGTCGAAGTGATATAGATAACTAGACACCCAGCTGTTCAGCAATAAGTCAAATTAGGACGCACTCTAAGACACTAAATATTTTGTCTTATATTCCTAACTATACATAACTATTTTCTATGTTATTTTTTTATTCCCAGACAAAACGTGCCATAACAGTTACGCTCGCTGTGAAGAATACTATCGTAATTACAAAAACAATAAATATTACAAAGGAAGATTTAAGCACCATTGTCCCAGAGAGTTCGATGACCGCTGCAGAGAAATGTAAGCACTAATTATAAATTTATTTTCATTTATTTTTTATTACAAGGGTTTACTTTAAAAGCGAGAATTTATAGATATATTATATTTTAATCGCATAATCCCTCAATATACGCATATTGTCTTAATTAATATCTTATAAAATTATATAAATTTATAGGATAGGCATTTTACAACTTGCTGGAAATATGTTCCGAAAAATATTAGTTTATTAAAATTAAAAAAAAATACTGTAAATAACGGGATTTAAAGTTGGTAAATCACAATCCAGGAGTGTAGGCGGGAATTTGCTAGGGAATTAAATTTTTTTAAGATAATATTATTGTTATTTAAATATCAAGCATTTATTAGGTCTAATAACTATGATAAACAATTTTTAATTGATGTGAATTATAAAAAATTAAATATATAAACCGGCATATAAAAAACTATAAAATAAATGTGAATTAAATAATATTATACGGATATAACCGACGGCATATGAAAAATAAAATGAATATGAAAAAACCTTAAGTGAATATAACCAGCATGAATAACTATAAAATAAATGACCCAAAATAGAAATTTGAATTTTTTGAGCCCTTAAAATATTTATATATAAAGTATAAAAAATTTAAATGTAGGCAATATAAATTGATGCATAAAAAGTTTCTTATGAATAATTGTGTTTTGTATGTATAATAACTTATAGTATTCATGAAAATATTTATAACACGTTAAAAAATAAAATTGACCAAAAAATATCATTAAAATTTAATCTTCGTTGGGATTGCGCTAATTTTCCAATTATCTCACCCGTTCAAATGCCTATGAATATTCAAAAGGGCCAAACCATTCAAACTACTTTCAGAAGTTGTACTTCTGTAGGTTTTTATTCTTCTTAAAGAAGAAAATGTATGTTCTCTCATTAGTTGTAGTACTAATGGGAAGAGTTGCTAATATATATAATAATTTTAATACATTGGGAAAATAATCTAAAAGATGTTTGAAATGATGCAATCTATAGCATTTTTTGGAACTATATCAGCAATAGTTAATTTTTTATACCATAGTTGGTATTCAGCTAATAAGGCATCATAAGATACTTTAACAACTTCGTGATAAAAATCTGCCAAATATTTTATTTTTTTCTATCACCATCTAAAAAAGGTTGAGAAGGTTTTTAGAGTAATACCTGAAGATTGGTAAATGCTGCCTGATAAATTAAAAACCGTTTATTCATTTGAGTTATGAATGTATCTAAGAGAGGGATAAAGACTTATTTTATAATACTCTTCTATTGACCCTAAATTAATGTTTGGACCATGATTGCTTTGCTGCAAGTTGGGATATACAAATATTAAACTATCTGCTTTTGGCTCAACAATAACATCTAAAATATGAAATTCTTCATCAACATTAACCCTAATTTTCTTGAGTTCCAATAAAATGTTCCCCGCTATTCTCATCGTCTCAATCAAGTCAATGTTATGTTTTTGAAAAGTAATTTCATTACATAATTAAATCCATTTCCAAAGTAGATGTTTAAAAAAAGAAAATTAAACCTCCATAAATATATAAAAATAGAAAATTATTTATAAAATACTAGCCTAATAATTTTAAAACTCCCTATTTATTTTAAATACTGCCCATGAAAATGAATTAACTGCCAAAAAACCAACCAAATGTTTTTTCTACTACTCGTTTAATTAAAATAACTGCCCATTTTGATTAATTTTGCTGCACATTTCTCATTAAAAACTGCCTAAATATTTATTTAGTATAATTAACCTTTCAAAAGCTCTATATCCTGACTCTCAATTATATCAGCAATTATTCTTCCAACTATTCTTTCATTATTTGTATTTATTATGGGAGAGATTTTAATTACTAAGAGTAAATATTATAAAATGTTAAAAAATTATCTTTTATACATTTTTGTAAGATGACTAGGATTCTGAATTCCATCATCATCAATATGTGTATAAAATTTCCTTATATCAATAATTATTAATTGAATAGAAATTTGAAAGTAATAGAATATTAAGCCAAAGAAAACTTGAAATCGAAATTAATTGATAAAATAGCTTTGTAGATGATTGTGATAAATAAATGTAATTAAATTATATTTAATAAGAAAGAGATAGGAATAAATATTATAAAATATAAATTAATATAAACAATAATATTTGTGAAAAATATTTCCGGCATTTGCATTTCTTAGTTTTTTTAGATGAGGGAGGGGGGGGGGAAATTTGTTTTCCCCCTTCTCGCTGCGTACGCGCCTGGAACGATCTTTGTTTTAAAGCTTTTTTTATATAATCTGAATCCGCCAAAAAATGTATTCAAGTAGATACAGAATACCGATCCTAATTGATTTCAGATAATTTGATCATTTACGATTGAATAATTTTTATTTATATTCTGTCAATAAACGAATTAGATTTGGTGATTTGGATACTAATTTTTATTTTCCTCCTCCCAACCTAAAATATTAAGGTATGGAAATCGATTCACATTAACAAACGAAGTCCAATGATAGCTAATTGGTTCCACGCATCGAAACTTTACCTAAAAAATATATCGTTTAAATCGCTAGAACAATCACAGCTCATTATAAGGTATTTCTGAGCTCACGAATTTATTCTTTTCCCCATTAAAATTCTTTACAATTTATAAAACCAATTATTAAGTCCATCAAAAATAATGAAAGAGTGAATTTGGAGAAGATTAAAAAAAACTACCTTCCGATTACATATTATTATATTATATTTTTGTTAATTATTTATATTTATTATAAACAAATATACTATAAACGAGTAAAAAAATAATTTATATTTATATTTTTGTACAAAACAAAAATGCCTCAAAAAAAAATTTATAGTCGATTTTCATGTATATAATATAAAAGATTTATACTTTCTTTATATCTATCCCGCAGTGGGGTATGGAATCCATGAGGATTTTTAATTTCTCAATTTTAAATCCCATATAAATTTAATAGTAAAAAATTGTTTAAAATTTATGCCTAAATACATTTCCGGTCAATTTATATTTTCAAAATTTAAAAATTGTTCTTAATAAATGCCTATAGATTCCATATTCCAATACGACATATATTTTATATATGGATATAATAGTTGATAAAATTGATTTTTATAATAAAATATTACAACCATTGAAAAATTATTATAATAGCGTTGCAATCATCTTTTAAAGAGTTAAAATTTAAAACTAATTATTAGTATTTTTTAAGGATTCTGTTCAGGTTCCGGTAAAAAATTTTTTAATTGTTCTGTTTATTGGTAGATAATGGTTAATACCGGTTTAAATTTGGTTCAGGTTCGGTTTGAGTACCAGATGTCTTTGTCTAAAATATTTTATATCTAAGCAAAAATAAGCAAGTCTGAATTATAAGAACTATCAGATTGTCTTGATTTATTACATAATTTACATATTTAGTAATATTTTTTTATAAGAAGCAGAGCTGATCCTTTATATATTCAGTATATGATGACTTGATTCTTTTAGCTCTCAAATATCTCAGAATCCTTGGTTCTTATCATTCAGATCTTAATCTATTATCAACGAAAATGAATGAATTTGATTATTAAAAACTCTTGTACATTATTAAAAATTTGATTATAACTACAATATTATCCGAAAACAAAACAAAAGGAGTTATAAAATAAACTATATAATAATAAACAAAAAAGGTAACTAAAATTATATTGATAGGAAAAAAAGAAGATTAAATTAGAATATGACGACTTAAGCGAAATGGGATAGAGTAGACTATCATAGACCTTTATTTTACTTTTATTTAACATTGAAATTCATATAAACACACTGATTTTAACGATTATTTCTATACATTTTTATAGAGATAGTCTCTTATCCTCATTCAACTTACTTCTTCATTTGAATCCCCACTCTGAACAAATTGCCCCCTCCTATCACGAAATAAAAATTAATATTAAATAAAATAAAATAACTAAAAAAATTTAAAAGAATATCCAAATTAAAATAATGAATGAATGTTTTTGTACGATATTTCTTTTTTCTTTCTAATTTACTTCATATATGACATCTCCCCTCTTTATTTTGCTTGTCCCCGATCCTTCACTCATCTTCCATTCGATCAGTTTCTTTCATAGCTTTCATGTTTCCTTCATTCTACTCTCTCAGTATCGAATTCCTTACAACACAAATTCAATCTTTGTAATCAATTGTTATCAATGTTGTTATTTTTTCTACTCTCCATCTGATTTACTCTTACTCCAATGCTCTGATACTTTCGTCATTCATCGTATTCCGACTAAAACAATTCATTTGTTTCACCATCACCATTTATTTTAGTCTTCATCGTTATCATTTCCTTTGTTCCACTTTTTCACTTCATTTCCATCTTTTCGTACTTTAACGTCTGTCTCCCTTCCTCGTTTTGCGTCCATTCTTGTCTTTCAATCTACTCTCACTCCTCCTTTAATTCCGGTTATTTCCTTATGTATACATAAATAGTGATTTGTCACCTTTAGGATTATTTTATTGTGCTTATTGTTACAATAAAGTAAATCTATTTATGTTTGTTCATTTTACAAATATATGTTATATAAGTGTGCATCTGTTATACAATATTATGAATTTGTTTGCGTGTCTAACAATAAGTTATATCTGGTGTGAGTGTAGGTATAGAATTATTGCAATATTATTTATTTTATTTTGCACTACAAAAATTTATGTGCAAAAAAAATAAAATAATTTAATCTAGATAATGATTGTAAAAATTTAATGCTAGAGAAAATATAACTTAAAATTATAAATAATTGTTAACTAATTAATTAAGATGTAGAAAAAGGAGAATTTAAATGTAAAATAGATAAAATATAACTAAGATCTAATCCTTGTCATTCGCTGCTCGACTTGTATTATCTTTAGTGACCTATGTAATTTAACGATCTTTTCTTATGAGTCTTTATATGTTGTCCCTTATTAATCCCTTAAATATCTTTCCTTACTTTCTTCTACCTTTTTTTTATATTGCTTTGTCTCTCTTTACTTCATACCCTTTTCGCTATAAATCATTAATAATTAACTCAAAAGTTTCCTACTAACCCTCTTACTTTACCACATTCACAAATTCCCATAATTTCTAAAAATATTTCAATTCTATATAAATTCACTCTCCCTCTGTATCCTTCCTTCATAACCCTTTATATGAATTCTCAATTTAAAATCATTATTCCCTAATTGTGATCATTCTATCAAAATCCATAATTTTGATTCTCACTTCTTATTCCACTTTATTATTCAATTTTATATAAGAAAATTTAATCCTAATAAAGTTATCCTCCCTTTTAATCTTCTTTTAAAAGTTCCAAGTTACTAAAATTATGTTAACAAATCCCCATTATTTCCCTAACATTGAAATTATCTGTTCTTCTAAATTTATCTCCATTTAATTTAAGTTTATCTGTACTATAATTTTCATTTATTTCATTGTCTTACCAGAATAATTATAGTAATGCAGACTTATACTCTGATGCATGCTCAACCTGAATCATATAAAATAATCTTCTTTCCTTTACCTTAATTCTAATTGCTTGTGTGTACTATGACGTACGTATATAAAATCTTCAACCTGAAGCAAATATAATAATCTTCCTTCCTTTACCTTAATTCTAATGTAGGATTAAGTGTACTATGACGTACGCCTATGAAATTTATTCTGGTTTAACCGATGTAATATAGATAAACTTCTTTGTCAATTAAACCTTTTATTAACTCCTTATATCTTTAGTTCTTAACTTCTTTATTCCCCTAATAATCCTTCATTTCTATATTAGATTCAAATTTTATTATCACTATTATTCAAATATTTTTTCTTATCTTATTTATCACCTATAATTTCCTACCTTCTCACCTAATAGAGTTCACTTATTAATATTCAAATATACTTACTTTTTACAATTTCTAATTATCCATTTATTTTAATATTCCTATATGTATTTATAAAATGTATATTTATGAAATTAATTTATTTATTTACACAAAATCCTTTTTTTAAACTTTTATATCACATGCCTTACCTTCTATCTTTCCTTCCTTCCTCTTCCTTTGATTCGTATCTCTTATATCTATTATCCCTACATTAACTTGCGAAGTGTCCTGCTTCACTGCAGTTATAACACCTGACATACTCTCTACTCTTGTAACTTTTTGTCTTCTCCCTTATATCTTCTCTTCTATTTCTCCCTCCTAATAACATTCCTACCTTTAATACTAATAAGGTGCATATATTTGCTAAAATATTACTTATAATTTTATCTTTTTCACTTATGGTTATGTACATTATAATATTTTAAACTTATTCTTTGATCTTTCTTATAAGTTTTATAATAATTTTACTATTATTACTCTTACTTCTCTTATGTATATAATAATGCTTATTAATAAGATAATTATTGTATAACATATATTATACAATTTTTTTTTATACATTAGTTTAATTTAATTAAATTAGAACTCATTTACTATAATTCTGGTAACTTTAATTTAATTTATATTTCTTCAAAATCTTTTAATCCAATGACTTATATTTATTTATTTTATTTTCTACTATTATATTCTTAAATCTAAATTCAAATTATTATTCTTATATAATTTTAAATTTAATTTTCTTCTTTTTTAAAATTTTTCTAAACTATTCTATTTCTAATTCTATTTAAAAGATGTTTCTTCAATTGTATAATCAACTTCTTTATAATTACTTAAATGATTTTTATTCAAATTAATTTAATATATCTCTTTATACTTCTATTTCAATATTTCTTCAAATTGTTCAATATAATTCTTCTACAAATTTTTCTTTTACCCAGGTTAGTTATGTGAATTATATGTCACGGCGCCATTTATTAAGTTCTCAAAAATAATAAGATATATATATTTGATAATAATTGGTATCACCTCTTATTGTGTAACAAATCTTTTATTGTGTAGTTTATTCTTCATCTATATCAAAATAATATTCACATTACAAATAAAAATTAATATTAAAAATATATTCCAATTAACAAAAATATTAAAAATATATTCCAATTAACAAAAATATTAAAAATATATTCCAATTAACAAAAATATTAAAAATATATTCCAATTAACAAAAATATTAAAAATATATTCCAAATTAAAATAAATGATTGAATGTTTTTGTACGATTTTTTTTCCTTTCTATTTATCATTTATATATTTTCATATATGATAACAATTTATCACATTAAAGAAGAAATTTAAAGAAAAATTTGTAAAAGTTAATAACTTTTTAAAATAACGACTATAATAATTCCACACTTTTGAAAAAAAACATTTTTATAAAAATAAAAGTGAAAACCCTTTTTTAAAAATATAATATAGCCAAAGGCCTACTATAAGGGGACTTAAAGTATCCAATTAAATTTGTGGTGGGGGGGGGCACACTTAATAGTATACTTCCCCCCTCTCTTAGCAAAATCCTGGCTACGCTTAGGCGAATAATCTTTTTTCCCATATGTAGCACACATTTTGGTCTAAAATTATAAATGTTTTGTTTAGACTCTGCTTTGAAGGCCATATTGTATTTTTTTTATCTTCGTTAAACATTTCAGGGAACAATGAGGATTAAAATTTATTTAGAATACGTGAAGATCTGGAGTCTCTTAATTCTAATAATTTACGAGGGCGTTAAACTTAAGAAAAGGCTGATATTACCAGAAATGTAATTCAGAATCAGTAAATTGCTTCTATGAATTTTAGACAAGACAGTAATAAACTGTTAAAACACTATTAAGCAGATTATTTGAAAAAAATTAAAAAATACACAATAGGATAGGCACTTTATCCCATGTTGGAGTTCATTTCTAATAAAATCGTATGTTTAAAAATAAAAAAATAGCCATTTTAGATTATTTTAAAACGAGAGATATGAATTTTTTTGTGTGGATTTTGGGTAAGGGGTTAAGCCAGAAAACCTAATCACATAAGGCTAAGATTAATGATATTATGTATGGAAAAAAAATCAAGAAGCGAGAAACGTTTTATGGATAGTTATATAACCCCAAATAAATATTTCGAAGATGAAAAATGTCATAAACAGAAACTCTATATTAGAGCATATTTATACTCTGTGGCATAGCACAATGTTTTTTTAATTTAAAGTCCAATGATTCTGTTAACATATTTAATCACATTTTATAAATAAATATAAATTTGGAGAAAAGGGGAAGGGGGGGGGGGTAGCTGGTTGGGCCAAAGAATATTTAAATTATAAAAAACCAGGAATCCGAAATAGAGGCAATCTTTTGTTCCAATTTTTTAAAATTAAATTTTATCATATTTCTGTTGAAGCTCTATCCAATTTCTCTTTCGATGATCATAATCGACGTTCGAACAAACCGAAATGTTTTCCGATAACATGAACGAATTTACTTCTTAAAATATTTGGCGAAAAAAGTATAAATTCAAATTCATCAATAACTGCTCTTTCGAATAATAAAAACGAGTTAATTGATCAAAAGACTTTTAATATCACATTAAACATACCACATCATAATCTGTTTTATATTTTCGTCTCCACATTCTTTATCCATTGATGAAGTATTTCTAGCTCTTAGATCATTTAAAAGGAGTCTAGATGAGGTCAAACCTGCAGATATTAGCAAAATCTTTACTAAAAAAAAATAGATTTAGCAGTAAAATATTAAGATTTACTATTCCTGAGCCAGTAAGTCAGGCATATATTCTGCGATGCCAAGATAATCCTGATAGTGGTATTAGATTAAAAATCGACGATGCCCGGCCCAAGCCGAGTTCAAGATTTTTGAGCCGGGTAATTTAAAAAAATATTTATCGGGCCGGTTCTGACTAAACCTATTGTGTAACATATTTTTATGTGTCGGTCCAGAATTTAGCAAATTATTGATTAACATTAGAAAAATATATGCCAATTTCCTTAAGAAAAAAATATTACGACCCAAGATAGAAGTTGTACAGAATTATTTTCACGAACCGGGAAAAATTTTTATGAACCGAGCCGAAAATTATTTTTAAAAATAGCAAAGCAGTTTGGGGCCAACCGTACTGTTCTGAGACCTATAGCCGATAGTTGTTTCCAGAAAACTAATTTCAACTGTAATTAATAGATAAGCAACAAAGTCACATAATTTTTAACTCCTACCTAGTTATGCTTTGGTTAAAAAAAGGAAGATTGAAATGGCAGTCTAAGGAGCGAAAATCTTATTAACCTATTTTCTATATAGTGACATATAAGCCTGACTTCAAAAATGGTTTTGATATTCATTTATCATTTTTAGTTATGGCCCCATAATCCTAAACATATAGAAATGTATCCAAAAGGGAGCTTAAATCCTCTCTAATTTAATCTCCATATAAATTCTATGTTAAAGATCAAATTTAACATTGTTATGAATATATGATACTAATATTTAGAGGCTAGTACTTTATGTAGCAATTTATCTCAAGATGCAGTTAAGTATATCCACTCAGAGATTATCTTATAATATCACAATCTTATTGATTTAAACTGAGATTTGCTTCCTGAAGTCTCAATTTACCATACTTTGTCTAAGTTTATTAAAATTGGCAGGCATATATGTAGCATACATCGTTTCAGCACGTGACCAGGGAGGGGGGATCGCATATTTGCCTGTTCTTTTATATATCATTTTAAGTTAATAACCCCCGCCCCCCTCCAAACACATTCACCCCCCCCCCCATTCCCCTCTCTCCAAATTATGTATACAATATATCACTAAAAGGAAGAATTTGAAAGAAAAATTGCTAAAAATTAATAACTTTTTAAAATAACGACCATAATTAAAAATTTTAGAAAAAGGCCTTTTCATAAAAAATGAAAACCCAGAATTATTTTTATAAAAATTCAACATAGCCAAAGGCCTATATTAGGTGGATCTAAAGATCCCCAATAAAATTTATGGGGAAAACACCACCTAATATTGTTTAACCCCCCCCCCCCTCTAACAAAATCCTGGATACCCTTATGCATCATTGATTCATATCTCAAATACTTTCAAATTTAATAACAGAAGACATTTGAATTCATAAATCTAGATGAGCTATATAAGATATTATCTCCTATTCCTTATTAAAAAAATATTAATTTATACCCAAACTTTCTTTAATAAGTTTAAATTGTATGCTGTATTCCTCAACAATCTGTGCTTATTGTATCTAGTAAAGAATTTTAAACATTTCATAGACAACCTTTAAACTTAAAATTTAGTGTATTCAATTGAATATCATAGTTCTTATCTTCTACAATGGCCGGACATGGATTCACTCCTCTGTCAATAAATCCCCTAGCTAGCTTCTAATTAGTAAGAGGCTCCCATGATCTCATTGTATAACAATTTACTCTAGAAATTTTATTATCGTGCATTAGACAATAAATATGTGTTTATCCTTCTTTACCTCTTCCAGTAATTAGAATACTTACCCTGTTGCTCTTATGATATCATCCTGCTCATTTTGGCTCAAAAAATATCCATCATTGCTTTACCTAGCCATAATATAAGAATGTTATTTAACTGAATTAATTAATAGTCGCAATAGGGCTATACCATGTTCCATCAATGAGCGAGATGTTTATTATTAGCTTATAAAAGTAGGATCCAACATTTTACACCCCTCAAGACTGTGTCTGGAGACATAAAACAATTAATACAATAATAGAGTCAAAATAGTAGATAAGGCTTGATTTTCAAATGTTTTTACTGGGTTATTTTTCTTGGCATAGATGGAAACCTTCATGTTGGATTACTTGCATTAAACACAAAGGTTTCTTTAAAATTAATAGCTTGAAAAATGATCCTGACTAACCCTGCATTCACTGTTAGCGCGAATTCGTGGCGAAGTATACAAAATATGATATAAATATTTACATTAATTTAGTAAACGCGTTTTGTTCAAGCTAGGCGTTTAACGTTAAGTTATTTACAAAATCAAACCAATAAATAGGTATAATTTAGAAATATGGAGCGAAACGATAAAAAAGCTATTATAAAATATGAAAAACATATTTTGCGACGTATATTTCAAAAAATATTATTGCTGTGAAAAATCAGCTGTGAAAAATTAACTGTGATTTTGATAGATTTAAATTCCGCACCACTTGAATAAAACTTGTTTACTATAAATGTGGCCTAATGACCGAAACAAATCCTTATATTTTTAAAACAAAACAAAAATCAGACCAAAATAATATATTAGGGAGTTTCTCTTAATATACATTTATTCTACCCGGTTTAAGAGGCTTTCATATTTTTTTTAATATTAAATATTCTCTTTTCTCCTGTCTAATTTTAAAATTATATTACTTTTAAAAAAATAAACGTTTATTAAAAATTATATAATTTGTAAACTACTAATTAATATTAATGGATATTCTTAAATAATAATTTGTAAACTACTAATTAATATTAATGGATATTCTTAAATAACTAGAAATATCGTCTGATTTTCAAATAATTATCACATGATTGGAAAAGAATAATGGCAAAATTTCTTATATTTGCAAAAAAGGGAAACAATCCTTATTAAAGAAATGCAAATTCTGAGCCAGCCCGTACCCGGCCCGAGCCAATTCGGGTTGTATAGGCCTAATATTTTTAAAAATTTGGGCCTGGGCGGGCTTGGAAAATTAGGTCTAATGCAGATCACTATCTTATATCATTCTAAATATTCAATTATAAAAGATAAGTATATTTATTTGTTACATTTTATAGAATATTAAAGTCAATTTATATTATAATTTAGTTCCTTTTCTCGCAATATTATAATCTTGGTAACAAGGTTTTTCCGGCTGTCTTGTGAAAAAAAAACAGTGCACTTATACGAGGAGGGGCCTCGAATAATTCACATGCGTTCTCTTTAGGACGGCCTAATACAACATGGCTATAATACATTTTGATGCTATAATTAATTTAAAGTTATAAATAATGATATTTATAAATAAATGAATGAATAAAATTTGCTAAGATATAAAACTAAATTAGTTATTTTTTTTAGGAACATTAATAAGAAACGGAATTTTTTTTACCGGACCTGCAGAGGAACACAAAAATGCCCTTGATCCGGGACCTTGATTTTGAAATTTTTTAAAAAATATATAACTTGCATTGAATTCTTTGCGAAGGATAAATTATTTAAAAATCTCGAAAATGTTTTGTATAATTATTCATTTAAAAATTACATTAAAATATGTTTTAAAATTTTGAAGAAGTTAAAAAAAAAATTGCAATATTAAAAAATAATTTTTTCCATTCATAATTAATTATATTAAATAAGAAAAATAATATACCTATTGTAAAATATTTTTTTTTGTGTCAAATTTTATCATTGCGACTATATTGTCTAGTAATATAAATCAAAATTAATTGGAATGTTTTACCCATTACAAAATTCGGAAATATCACTATGTTTAAGTAAATTTATAAATATAATTATCATTTTTATTCCTTAAAATATACATACTGTCAGAATAAATATTTACATATAAACATCAATTTTATTTTAGTTATAAATAGTGTTGTTAAATGGTTCGTTTTGAGTCTATTTTTGAAAACAACTCAATTATCCAGAAAAATATTAAGCATGCCTTAAGATTTTGCTTATAGATGGCACCACGTTTTGAACATCCATTAACGAAATCTTAAGGATTAGTCAATATTTTTCTGGATAAAATATTGAGTTAGCCATTTTTAAGGTTTGGCTCAAATCGAGCCGTTTAACAACACTCGTTATAAAACAACTCAGGTTTTTTTTTTTTAATTATTAGACGTGTTCTGGCTCGTCTTATTTCTAACAGTCGTCTGTTTAACCATCTATATAGTTTCCTAAAAAGAAAGAGACTATTTAAGTTTTATGTATTTTGGTAAAATTTGAAGTAGAAAAAAATATTAAAAACAAATAATATTTATCAAACTTAAAACATTTGTTTATATTGGGCTAAACAGAAGTTAGGTTTAAAAAAAAATAAGACACACCAGGACATAATTTTGCTTAATTTTAATGACAGAGATTATTTACAATAAAGCATAAATCCAAGCAATACTATTCTTCTTTAATGATAAGCTATTCGTTATTTTATTTTTAGAAAAGAAAATATGATATTATATTATTATAATTTAAAAAAATAATTATATAAGAAAGATTAAGGCAAGAAATTGTAGGCCAACTATTACCACCCTTACATTTCGAGAGTTTAGGGGGTCGAAATTTTCCTATCAGTTTTCAGTATCGGGGTTTCGCATATTTATACCTTTTTTGTTTTACTATTATTTTATTATCAATATATCCAAAAAAATGATTTAAAAAAAATAATAATGTACCCAAATCCATTCCTCGGTTTCAGGCTCGAAGGTCTCCGTTTGGGTTTGACAGTAAACTTACTCACCCCTCCTCCGGCTAAATTCGGGTCCCCCATGGCTATCTCTCCCCCCTCCCTACCAAGATTTATGAGTAACATATCAAATATGGAATTCTATACTGTGATACCATTTACGTTCTGGGCCGCAGACTACCCTCTTTTCTCTACTTATTTATCCCTGTTAAAATTTATTAAATTTTAAATTAAATTCCCTGTAGTTTTATAATCATAATTGAAAATTTTTTTTAAAAAAAATATTTAAAAAAAATTCATCTTTAGTTTTTTACTTAAAAGCTTGGCTTCACGGTGCAACCTCAAATAACGCCCGTGATAATAGTTTTAAAACTACGACGTCCAAAATGTTCTATCCAAAGTTCAAGCCAATAGAAGAGAATATCATTTCCTTTCCAACTGTTGTAGGAGGCATTAGGACTAAAATCAAAGAATATCCTTTTCTTGTTTCTATAAGAGTGAATGACAAGTATGATTGTGCCGGTATCATCATTGATTCTGACAAAATTTTAACTGTTGCCCATTGTATGAAACCAGGGTATTTATTATATCAGTTTTTTATCATTTTTATAGGATTCCAATTTCATTTTTTTATCAATAATCGAATTTCATGGTTAGGTTTTTAAAAGAATAAACATTTTAATTTTTTTTAAAAAAACAATAGAATTTTCTCTTATCTACCATAAATGAAAATAATTTTTGAACGAGATAGCTTCTCAGACTCTAAAAAACAATATATGATCTTTAGCAGAGTTGTTAAAAGATACTTTTAAAATATTTTAAGATACAGTTACATAGTCTAAATATATATAGATACAAATTTATATCACTAAAAATGTATCTGTATTTAGATACATTCTCTAAAATGTTTCTTGGTGCAGATATAAATTTATCCTAGATATATTTTATTTTAATTATGAAAGTGTACATCATGCTCTAAGACTCTAAGGCTGCATTCATAGTGGAACGGATCCGTTTTTACATCCGTTCCGTCAAAATTCAAACTCATTAAAAATGATATAAATGTTCATAGACTATAAAAAAATTGTAAGTAACGTTATAACGCTCTATAAGATTTGCCGGATCAAAAAGTCAAAATGTTTTGACTTCAAAATTTGCCGGATCCGTTTTTAAGACGGAAGGTATCGGAACGGATGCACTATGAACATATATATCATTTTTAATAAGATTGACTTTTGACGGAACGGATGTAAAAATCGGATCCGTCTCCACTATGAATGCAGCCTAATTGTTATAAAATACAAATTTTGAAGTGAGCTTAACAAATTTATTGAATTGATATCTTATCCATACACAAAATATATATTAAATGATTATAAATAATAATTGTTAGATTTCATAACAGAGCTTTCTCAAAATTTTTATTATTAGGGCATCCCTATCTGTAAAGAGATTTTTTAGTTACACTAGAAAGTAAGTCTTTCTAACGGGATACTTGACGGTAGCTTTATGTTTTACAAATAACAACTTTATATTGGAATAATCTTTAAATAAACTGAAATACCGACACTCATTTTGGAAATATTTATTCAAATTTAACTTAAAATATATCTGAAAATAGATAAAGGTAGTAAAAATATATCTAGATATAAAAACTTTTATAAGAGTATCCCCTATTTGTATCGAGATACTTTAACAACTATTTTATCCCTTTTACCCAAAGGTGAAAAGGAATTTGTCAAAGAAATAAATATTTTTTTAAAAAATCCCTAAGAACCCTAAGAAATTTGTCAAAATTCAATATCCTTAACTCTATATTATTTTATAATAAATATTTTTTAAAAAATAAGTATTTAAAATAAATACAAGTAAATTTAATTTTTAAAAACATTAGCTCATTATCGAATATTATTATATTTTATAGATGCATATAGGGTTCGTGACTTAAAATCAATTGTAAATTTAGACTGAGCCGCATTTTTTTTCTTTTTACAAAACCCGGGTTAGGCCAAAAGATCTGTAGTTATATTTTGTGTTTTTATATATTACTGATGAAGCATACGGCATTCCTTATATACGATTCATTGTGGTAAATCCAAGATATATGGCAACGAACCAGGTCAAAAAGTTTTTTCCATTAAAGCAGCAATTATTCATGAAAACTATGTTAGGGAAGATAATCAGAAAAATAAATTTCAATATGATAACGATATTGCTATAATTAAACTAAATGAAACCTTAAAATTTACAGCCAATATCATGAAGGCTGAATTACCCAAGGCAAACGAAAAAATAACCCCAAATACCTATTGTTGCGTGGCTGGATGGGGTAAAACGAAAGGTTGTAAAAGAAATTATTTTATAAAAAAATTATATTATTTATCTAATTTTGATTTCTTGATATCAGGGATCCTCATAATAATTTGAATTATGTTTAAAATGATACTTATTTATCTTTATATATCTTCTAAGGTGTGAAACTGATTTGTCAAATGGAAAAATAAATATGGTATTAATTGAGGAACTGTTGCAACATGGTATTTTTAATATTTTATTATACGCAAATGGTATGAATAATAATTATTATAATATCATGGTTTTATAGTATACTATGTGAAAACTAGATAGAAAAATAATGATTACAATATTATAGAATATAAAATACTATATGAAAAAGTATGTCCAAAAATACTTAAGTACCATGTTGCACCATATTTTCTGAAGTTTAAGTTAGATAATGTCAGATAAAAATTGACATAATTTTTGTTCATTTTATTATTTTTTATTTATCCTCGTTAGATGATAATATTTACGTTTCAAATGCAATGTCCAAAACTTTAAATTCAGAGGTGTCACTAGCCTTTACAAACTCAGGCTCAAAAAATCTTTTTAAATTATTTTCAAAATAACCATTTTTAGATAACATCATTCTAAATTACCTTTTTTTAGTGGTATAAAAATAAAATTTCAAAATTTTGAGGGGGCTTTTCAAATTTTATAGAAGGCTCAAGCCACTGTGCCACTCCCACTAGTGGCGCTTCTGCTTAAACTAAGTTGTTTACAGTTGAGTCAATTTAACATGTAAGATAGATTATGAAATAATAATAAATTTTGATTTTAAAGGTCACGGCGATGTAAATGTCCTAAATGAAATATGTATACCCACATGGAGTACGTTAAAATGTAATAGGAAAGAATTCTATGATGGTAAAATATCAAATAATATGATCTGTGCCGGTGAAGAGTCTGGTGGTATAGATTCTTGTCACGTAAATAACTCTTTTAATATTAAATATAAAGAAAAAGAGATGAAATCAAGGAAAAGAATAAAAAGAGGGGGGGGAAGAAGGAAGTGGAGGAAAGTGGATGAGAAGAAAGAATAAAAGGGGCAATTATGTATAACCTTTTCCCAACTTTACGTGTAAACATTAGTTTGAATATATCATTTCGATAAATGGATTAACAGTATTTTTATAATATATATATAAGGGAGACTCAGGAGGACCCTTGTTGTGCTATAAACGAGCCACTTCCAGTAAGAAAGTTTCTGGTTTGGTTTCTTGGGGGAAAGGTTGTGCCGAATCGAACAAACCTGGAGTTTATCTGGATTTATCCAAATATATAGATTGGATTAAAACGAATTCAAAAAAGTTACAATTTGAGCCCTAACATCAAAATGATAATACATTGTTTATAATTATATTAAAATGAACATTGCTCATCTATATTATATAATAGCCGCAAACATTACATTACTTACACATTTATTACATTTTTATATTATGTTTCATTATATTTTTTTAAGGATACCATATTTAGTATTTTATATGTTTTTCATCCTTTTCTAACATCGGATAACTATAAAATTCACATTATACAATGATTACATTATAATTTATTTAAGGAAACTATATTTACTAATATAGTTCTAATTTTTCATAATATATGTCAACAACACGAACAATATAATTAAAATAAAAGTGCTTCTAACACCTATGACAATCTCACTTTATAATAAACGAACTATATTCAAAAATTGGTTTAATTTAAACTCGTTCATATTAATATTTTGTAATAAATTACTGAAATGAGTATTATTAAGGTTAATTTAAGTAATATTTATAATTTTCAAGAATTACAATTTACAAAATTTGAAAGCCCTTATAATAGTATTATTTTGAAGTCCTCAGGTAGCTCTATCAGCCCGCTCCTTTATTTGCAAGGACCAGTCTTCATTATATAATGTATTGTAACTATAAAAATTTTTGCTTATTAAACTTTTGATGGTAAATTTAAAATCCCTGAAGGCACGCTTAAAATGTTAGAAAACAATTATGCCCTCTATTTAAAAACTTTATTATCAAATCTATCTGATCCTCATCATACTCATTTTATATAGAATATTAGGGCTTATAACTCTTCTTAGGCATTTGCCTCCGTAATACACAGGTTTCTGATATTCCCTCCCATATTGTTTCTCTGTTCATGGCAAGATATATCACCACTGCTCTTCTCTCATCCGTAAATATATGCCGATTCTAAGTTTAAACAGTTTGACCTAGAACATCACAAGGTTTTGAAAATGGACTACATTGTATATCCAATCCTGCACGCGTGTCTACTTATCAAGCAAAACTTAGGCTACCATAGTAAAAAATCAGGTAAAAGATTGATTGGAGGGTATCATTCTATTTATGGCTAATGTTATAAGTCAATAATAGTCGGATTAAATTTATAAAAGAGTTTATTTAATTAATTTACTTAATAATAATCAATGGTAAAATTCAAATGTTTATTAATAAAATTCCTAGCTTAGAAAATAATTGTGTAAGTTAAAATATATAAAAAAAATAGTCTAAACTACAATATTTAGCTTAATATTATATATACAGTAAAAAAAACATATAATTTACATATTAATTTTATTAATAATTTAGAATTTACAAAAAAACTTCAAACAAAAATTTCTTACATTACCTTCATGTAAATCATAAATAGTAAAAAAAACACAATATAATATTCCAAATAAAGTTTACAAATTTACATAACTCAACCCAAAAATTGAATAACATTCGATATAACGACAGTTTGTATAATCTTTTGTGCTCATGTGATCTGACCACATAACAAACTGACTACCGCTGAGGTCTATGATGGTCCTGTCAGACAAGATGTTTTTTTATAATACTTTATTGCATCATAGTTAAGACGAGGGTAATATTTATTATCATTTGCAACAACTGTCATATCTTCAATCTTTTTTTTATAACACATTGGCTACCTTTATATCCGTAGCAAATCTGAAGTCTCCGTAGGTAATGGATATTAAATTTGCTGAATTAACTGAATTTTATTAATTTCTGTTGTGGTCACCATGCTGAATTTGTATAAATTTTTGGTGCTGAATTTATATTTAGTTTTCTTTTGAGGTCAATAAGGTTCATGATGGTTTAGTGTAAATTCTAAATCTAAGATATTTTCTTTATTTTTATTTATCAATCGAAGTTCTACAAAATATATTCATATAAGCATATCTTTTTTGTTTGACAAAAAAAAATGTTCTTTATATATATATATACGCAAAAATGAAAATAAAAAATTGTCAATTTTAGCGAAAATATAAAACATAATATAAATTGATTTAAGTTAAGAAACAACAAAAAAAGATATAACAAAAAATATAAATTGCAATGTTAAAATAAAACGTTAATATAAACTAAAAATAAAATCTTGCCGAAAGATATAAAATAAAATAAAATTTTAAATCAAAATATCTAATAAAATTATTATATTAATAGATAAGGCGTCTATGATGACAAAATATGCATTGTGTTGTATTGATAGCTTACTGAAAGTTATAAGGCAACTAATAGACTTTTTGCAGGGAAAGTTATTTTATTAGGTAGTGACTTTAGACAAACCTTATCTCTAATCTAAAAGTTTCAAAACAAACATGATTGAAACCTGTGATCAAAACTATGATTTGACCTCATCTATAAGATAATATGCGTGCTTTTAACGAGTAGCTTGAATTTAGTAAAGTTCCTTAAATGGATATTCCTGTTTTTCAAAAATCTTAAATAATTGACTTGGTGGCAAAATCTATATAATTTCGAGCTACAATTATTTAGAATGAACTACACTTAATTTATCATGTTCTTACCAAAATATAAATCAGCTGATTTATATTCACAATATTTTTCGCAAGAGTGTGCATATGAAAGTCTAAATATACAACCATGACATTTATAGTATTATCGAGTTGGTTGATTAGTCATACGTATCCCATCTTGCATAACAAATTTTTATCAAATAAGATATGAGGAAAAAAGGTAAAATTGTTAAAGAAAAGAATGAAAAAATATCTATATTACATTTTGCGATAGTATTTATAACCGGGGTTTGACGAACGAGAATTATAGGGCATGTTGATTTATGTTTTATGAGTTGATTCCATTATGTTTTCTTTACATATTACTAACATTTGGCTGCGCATGTTTTTTATGAGATCTAAAGTTTCTTTATTATTGATTAATGTAACCCTGCTACTATTTTATTAAATAAAGCGAATAATAAAATATATAACAATAATCTAATAAATAATTAAAGGATGGACATACATAAATAAAATATTAATTGGAATTATGTTATTACAAGATTTGTTGAAAAAAATAACATGGAAGGATGTTGTGAGTTTAAATTAAAGACAGAGCAGCTGTTGACCTTAATTTTATTTTTAAATCATTAGTTTATTAATTTTAAGCCATATTTAGTTATTTTATTATTAAAAATAAAATTTGAAATCAATAATTTAATCTATTCTAAAATTAGTTTATATTTATAACATTTTCTCAATTATATTTATGGAATAAAATAATGATAAATATTATTAACGATGGAGTCATATTGTATGAGAGTGATAATGTTCTTCTAGTTAAATGAGTGTAAAATAACATTTAAATGTTTATATTATACTGTCTGAGTCGTTAATATCATTTATATTATATTATGTTCAATTGATTTTAAAAGTTTATATCTTACTATTTGAGGCGTTAATTTCATTTATATTATATTATGTTCAATTGATTTTAAAAAGTATATATTTAACTATCTAAAAGAAACAAGTAATAATTAAGTTGTGTTTTGTTTTAAATAAAATTTTATTTCTACTTTAAAAAATAAAATAATAATATTTATAATATGTATAACATCGACTGGTATATATACTGGTATATGTAACAAAACATTTAAATTAATACTCAATAAATTATTTTACAAATTTGAATAAACAACACAATATGTAACAAAACATTTAAATTAATACTCAATTAATTATTTTACAAATTTGAATAAACAACACTATTAACATTCCCCTCCTCGACAAAGCATCAAGTTGCTGTTCAGAGGGCGCATAAGTCTGTCTGATGGCGTGAGTCCATACGTTTTTGTAGGTTAGAAAAGTTGCTGTACGTTATCATTATTATAAGGATCAAGTTTGAATATATGGAATAAAATTTTGGAATAAAAGAATTTGGAATAAAATTTTTGGAATGTAGAATAACATAAGAATGATAAATCAAAAAAATTATATAAAATTTCGCGTTTTTTTTTTTAAATTTTGCGTTTTATATTTTATTAGTAGCGTTTTAATATTTAATTATTAGCGTTTTAATATTTAATTTATTTTTATTTATTTTCAATCTCCGAGGTTAAAATATGCAAATATTATGCACATTTCCCTTTCTTAAAAAAATTTAAATTTCACACAATATTTTTCTATAATAATGATGTTTAATTTTTACATAACCTTTTGTCTTCAAAAGCTTTATTTCAAAAACATTTTTATCATATCAAGTATTACTTATAAGGGTTATGTAAATCTATCATGTGATTTAAACCTTTTAATTCATGTTTTAATTACATTTTAATATATTTAAAATTAAAGTTTTATCTTCTTGTTTAGGATTTTTAATGGTTTATTTTTAATTAAATCTAAAAATTCATCTTTAGGTTTAGTTAATTTACAACAATTGGTCATCATACAAGAAATCCAAAAAAAAATAATATCAATATTTCACTAAGAAATTAAGTAAATAATTTTTTAAGGCTTTTATGTGTTCAAATATGTCCATTATTGATTTACATTTAAGTTATTTTAATAAGTAAATTTACAACATGCCTTTATCTCAATTTTAATTTCAAATAACTTTTCTTCTTACGTGGATTAGAATAATAAGTGATCATCATTGGTCTCACAATATAGAATTCATAACCTAACGTCCAACTTCCATATTGGTTCTTTCTAGGTTGTCACATTAGGTTAGGTGCTGGTTATCATATTCCAGTCCAACATCCAGAGCCAGGACACCATGAAGAAAGAAGCTTTTTGCATGAAAGTGCTAATGTTTGATTCTAGTCATCTCCATAGATTAAGCAATCAACACAATAGGTAGTCATCACAATAGGTAGTCATATAAATAGAGTCATCTCAATGGATTAAGCAATCGTCACAATAGGTAGTCATATAAATAGAGTCATCTCAATGGATTAAGCAATCATCACAATAGGTAGTCATATAAATAGAGTCATCTCAATGGATTAAGCAATCGTCACAATAGGTAGTCATATAAATAGAGTCATCTCAATGGATTAAGCAATCGTCACAATAGGTAGTCACCACAATAGGTAGTCACCACAATAGGTAGTCACCACAATAGGTAGTCACCACAATAGGTAGTCACCACAATAGGTAGTCATATAAATAGAGTCATCTCAATGGATTAAGCAATCGTCACAATAGGTAGTCATCACAATTTCGAATTTAATTTAATTTTTTACTTTTTTATTTTAATTTTATATATTTTCTTCTTTTTTTTTTACAAAAACGTAACGGGGCGCCATAAAAGAAACAAGTAAATAATTAAGTTGTGTTTTAAATAAATTTTATTTCTACTTTAAAAAATAAAATAATAATAATTATAATATGTATAAC